CAATTTGCCCCCCCGCCCCTCCTGCCCGGCAACCGAACCCCCCGCCGACGTCCTCCCTTCCCCCGGAGCTTCTACCCGATTTTTTTTTCTGGTGAAAACCTCGGCCGTTCTCCCCGTCTCGGTCAACCGCAAGCACGAGTCGCCTGCTCTCGCCGGAGACGTCCTGTCGGTCCTACTAGACGCCGGAGTCCTGCTTCAGCTGGCCCTCGCTCCCTATCACGCGGAGCCCTAGCCTTCGCGCTTCCTTCAGTGCTAACGACCGCAGCCCCCTTTCGTCGGCTTCCACTCCCGCCGGCAAAGCCTCCTCTGCCGGCGAAGCCTCTGTCAGCAAACTTCCTGCCGCGGCCTCCTTTGCCAGCAGGACCTTGGGCAGAGCTTATCCCCTCTTACCCACTTTCTTTTTGTGACGCCGACGGATGTTCTAGCACACCATCTACCGAAGCATCTCGTTGGCCCTCATTCCTTTGTGGTTGGAAACCTCGCAGCGTGAAAAAGTGTGGACTTCCTTTCTCTTTTCGAGGAGAGCTTCATCCTGGACTTCACCGAACGACGAACAACCAACGCTACGGTATAGCCTCCTCTGACCCTCGGTCTTTTCCTTCTCAGCTAGCCTTTGGGTTTAGTCTTGCTAGGCGTGTAGGTTCGATCACCCACACGGGCTGCATGCGCTGGCCGGCATTAGCAGGTGTGGCCGCCTTTAGGATAGGGTTTTCTATGCGTGGCCGAGCACCCTGTAAAATCGAACGAACTCTTTGGGTCACTGCCTTGACGCCATGTCCACCATTTCGGGTCACTGACTCCACGCCACACCCACTCTTTCGGGTCACTGCCTCCACGACACACACCCTTTCGGGTCACTGCCTCCACGACACACCTAAAACTTTTGTCACGTGATTGTCTGCACTTGCATTTGCATGCGTGTATGGATGCGAACCATGCTTGGTATGTGAGTGATCCTGTGTCGGTCACGATGTCTTAATGATCATTGCTTGCCGGGTTGATTTCGGTGTGCAATGCGAGTTAAGTCAGCGAGATTATTATGACTGTGCTAAGGATTCAAGGGATCTAGCTCGTGTCACCATGCATGTTACGGGCTTGCATTTAATGACCCTTATTTTAAAATAAAAATTTATATTTTCTACTTATTATGCTACGCCGTAATTTCAAAATTATGCATATAACAGACTAGGCCATATATAAGGCCAAACCATTTCAAAGTTCATCTTTGGTGGCACTCTTTAGATCCTTTGGATCTTTAGGACGGAACCGCTACGACAACCCCGCCAAAGTCATACATATCCGAATACTAAACTTACCCAGCACTTAGATACTAGGTTGATATAATTTTTGTTAGATGGTGTGCTAGGCTAAAATTTAGGGTGCTATGTAGTATTTTTGAATGTCTTTGACTATTGTTGTGTTGACTTTCTCTTGTGCTAGCAACGCGTCCCCTTTTTCTTTTTGATGTGTCTGTGTGCTTGTTATGTATATTAAAATAATAGATCGTTCTTCTGCAGGGTGCTGTGCTTATATACACACTCATACATGTACTGCTATGAGAGAGCATGTAATGATTTTTAACCTTTTACTTGTATGTGCTCTTTAGCTCTCCCAATTATAGGACAACCTATTTTGTTTTGCATGACTTTCCTGCTAACGCTTGTTTTCATGCAGATTGAGTCTTTTATATTTTCTTTTCAAATATATTTGATACTTTTTAGGCTAACTCTGTATCTTAAATAAGGTACTGGCACAAGCTTCGAGGTGGACGACGCACCAAACCACGTGACTGGAACCAGGAATTGCAGCTCGTGCCCTGTTCCTTAAGTCCGAAGTTTCTATATTCTTGTTGGACTTAGGGCCGGGCATGTATATGTGGAGTCTGACTGCTTTTCCTGCTTTTCTGGGATATGTTACTGACCTAACGATGTTTTTACATCTTTTATATATTCTTTTGGAGTGCTTTATCTTTTACTGAGTGCTTGTATGCCTGAATTACTTTTATTGTTTATTTCTGTGCATTTGGGATTCCACAAAAAAATATAATCTAGGCTCATTAAAAACCTATAATTGTAAATTTCTTAATATAAAAAAATTCTAATAAAAGATTCAAGATAAATTAAAATTTAGGATTAAAAGTTTTTTAAATTTCAAAATTTGTTTTTACTTTTTTAGATGGCCTTCGGGACGGTTTTAAAACGTGTTGCATAACATGTATATCACCCAGACCATTCTAATAGTATTTTCATAATAATTAATGATCGCTCTAGAAAACTGTATCATACTTGCATGTCCCGAGGAGGAGCCCCCCGTGCTTCTCCAACCCGACTAGCCAACATACCTTTTTTCATTGGATTTTGTCTAGTGCGCGTAGTTCGTTAGAAGGCTCCCCGACCTAGACATTGACCTAGATGTTGTGTAAATCCTTTCGTTGGACTATTTCCAGATTTGTAGTTGAACCTCCCTTTTTTCTTTTTTGAGCCATCCTCGTCAATTTGGTGGATATAAGTGTCATTTTTTGGAGCTTCAGCCGATAGTCATAGGATAGAGTTTTTTTCCTTTGATCTTAGGGTTACTGAGGTCCCCGTGGACGACATAATTCATAGATTGCTGACCGGGGATCTCAGGACGTGTTGGGCTGACTACCTTCATGATCAGATAGACTTTGGGTCTTAGTAGCTTGGGATGACGGTTCTGTGATACCCTGACTTGGTTATCTCTACTTGTTAGGGATTACTTCTCCCCTCCTTTGAATACCCTTGTTGAGCTCTGTCTCTTCTTTTTGTCTTCGTTGGCATCACCTCAACGACCCGACACCGATGAGCTGTCACTCGTTTGAGATACAATGATTTGTTCTCTGCCTTATGACTTGGATGTGTTCTAACGTATCAGAATCCCCCCCCTAAAAAAACACTATTAATTAGAACATTGAAAGATAAACAACTATAATCACCCCAATCTATCTAAATTTATTACAAATAATTAATGAAATGTACCAAATCCTTCTTGTCGAAACGTAGCAAGAAAAAACCTTGCACTTACTCTTATATTCGATTCCTCTTCCTCTTTTGCTAGATTGTGCATTTTCTTCGATTTGAATCCAAGAAGAGTGCTAAGAGGTTTCATCTTTGTCCACCTTTCTTATTCTTCCCGTTGCCCTCTCTTGTCACTGGAGTCGTAGTGAAAGAGCCAGAATAAGCTCTTTTGAAATCAGTAAGCTGCACATCTCCCAGTGCCCCTCTACCCCCGAACACTTTTAATTAGAACGTTGAATGATAAACAACTATAATCACCCCCATCTATCTAAATTTATTACAACTAATTAGTAAAATGTACTGAATCCTTCTTGTTGAAGCGAAACAAGACAAAACCTCGCACTTACTCTTATATTTGATTTTACTTCCTCTTTTGCTAGATTGTGCATTTTCTTCGATTTGACTCCAAGAAGAGTGCTGAGAGGTTTCATCTTCGTCCACCTTTCTTATTCTTCCCGTTGCCCTGTCTTGTAGCTGGAGTCGTAGTGAAAGAGCTAGGATAAGCTCTACTATTAATTAGAACGTTGAAAGATAAACAACTATAATCGCCCCCATCTATCTAAATTTATTACAACTAATTTGTAAAATGTACGAAATCCTTCTTGTCGAAGCGAAGCAAGACAAAATCTTGCACTTACTCTTATATTCGATTCCTCTTCCTCTTTTGCTAGATTGTGCATTTTCTTCGATTCGACTCCAAGAAGAGTGCTGAGAGGTTTCATCTTCGTCCACCTTTCTTATTCTTCCGGTTGCCCTCTCTTGTCGCTAGAGTTGTAGTGAAAGAGCTAGGATAAGCTCTTTTGAAATCCGTAAGCAGCTCCTCTCCTAGTGCCCCCCACCCCAACCCCAAATGAAAATCTTGGTCTTTGCTCTAAAGTTTAGGTGGTTTAGGGATTTGTGGACAAGAGATGCATGAGAGTTCATTTTTATGTAGGTTCTTCGGTTATGGTTGCATGTGTTGGTTCTTTCTGTTTGACTACGAGAAGGATTCAATAAATCTTCCAAATTTAACTGTAATAAATTTAGATAAAAATAAAATTTCTTCTCCATGGCTTTCCCTCCTCTCAGAATCCAAAAGAAATATTAGAATCTCTAGAAACCCATAAATCAGATGCAGGTATCATGCTGATTAGACGGAAGAGCATGCCGGTTGCGATGCCGGTGAACTTGGCTTACCATGATGACATTTGTAGCCGAAAGACCTATAACAGAAGAGATTTTGAGGAATTGGCTTGTGTGAGTCTATTTCAGATATTCCTATATTCTTAACAACGGAACGTTGGGCGGCAAGTGCATCACCGTAGGGATCTAACATCGTGAAATGGCGAAAAAATTCTTTTAAGGTCGACGCACCTTGTGGATGAGTGAATATTGTTGACTTGATTCTCAAACGAAAGGAATTTCTTCTCCGTTTAGGAATTTCATGAAGAGAACGAGGATGAAATTTCATACGTTTGTAAATGGTGTAATAGGAATTTCATAAAGAGAAGAATTTTATCGGTGTTCTCTGCAACTAAATGAAGCTTTGTCTTGTTCTCAAACAAAGCCTAAGAAACGCACCAATCCAGAAACTTCAGAAGCTAACCACTGAAGTCATAGAGGGTGCGCCCTTGACGCTTGAGGGCATAAACAACATCCAGGGCTGTGATGGTCTTCTGACAAGCATGCTCGGTGTAGTTCACAACATCATGGACTACCTTCTCAAGGAAGATCTTGAGCATTCCTCGCGTCCCCTCATAGATCAGACCACTGATGCGCTTGACGCCTTCGCGGCGAGTGATGCAAGGGATTGCTGGCTTGATGATGCCCTGAATATTGTCTTGGAGAACTTTGTGGCGGCTCTTTGCTCCGCCCTTTCCCAAGCTCTTATCGCCCTTGCCTCGACCCTTTTTAATGTCATTATAAAATAGTAAAATACGGGCAACTGCAATCCATTGTTTTGTAGGTAACATGAAACTTCAATGAAGTTTTGGTTGAATTGTAGATTTTCTTGAATCTATTTATTTTAGAACATTTTAGTTCAAATGCTTTTATGAGAAAAGTAAGGCATTTTAACCATACAAAATTTCTAGGAAAATCTAACCAAATTATCACGGTTATTATTTTCGCATATATTTGAACAAGTGTGAAGTGCCATTTGAGTTATTCGAGGGAGAGGAAATGAGAAACTGAAGAAGTGAGGAGTCGGGCAGTTAAAGGAGGGAGAGGAATCAAACAACTAGGAAGCCGAAGAGGGGGTTATTCGAGGGAGAGGAAATGAGAAACTGAAGAAGTTTCAAAGGAGGGAGAGGAATCAAATAACTAGAAAGCCGAAGAGGGGAAGGTGAAACGAGAAGGTCGGGAAGCTGAATGAATACTTTCGTGTATAAATCCACATGTAGGGGGGACGGTAGAGGCGAGTTATTTACTTGAGAGTCGAGTAAACATCGTCCAAGGAAGTGGAGGAGGGCCCTTGGGATCATGCGGGTTTCTGCGGTAGGTGAAGCTAAAGCAAAGAAAAGGATGGAGACAGAGGGCTTCAATCGAGCCCTAGTAAAGAAGCGACACCGCAGTTGAGCAAAGGAGGAGGCGAGTGCGGGAAAAGATTCTTCGCGCATAGTGATACTCGATCTTGTGCGATCAAGCCGAAGAAGAAGAAAGGGAAGGACAGAGCATGCAAGAACCTAGTCGGGCCGAGCCTTTGGGATTAAGTATATACTAAATGAATTAAGTATATTATAAATTATTAACAATGGGGTTTAACAAAATTATGATTCAACCTAGAGAAGTTTCACTTTGATTATAGAAAGGGTGGTGACAGTAAAGAAAAAAAAGTATTTTGTTAAATTAATAAAATTATTATAAGTATTAATTTCGATGGTTAAACTTAAAATTCAATTATTGAAATCTTAATTAAATAATATAATGAAATTTGCTAATTGATAATTAAATTAATAATAATAGTAGTAATAAAATTTAGTAACTTCGGTATTTTATATATTATAGGTGGTAATTTGGATGTGGTGACAAACACTAAAAGCAAAGAGAATCATCAATGATTAAGGTCAGTACTTGTACTTCAAATCAATGATAATATTTTACTTATTCTCGATTTTTATGCATTAGTAAAAAATGATATTTGCCGAAATTTTATTATGATTTATTTATTGGTCACATTGTTAGGAATACTTTAGTTAATATCATGCATGTTATATATAATATATTGAATTGAATGCCACAAACACATGAATGATATATTTACTGATAATGATGAAATCACCTATTCATGGTACTAGTAGAGGAATACTAAGGTACCCTTGCACATATGTGAAAAAAGGATATGATGTTGATATGTCTTAGTTGACACAATTTCAAAAAAAAAAGGAGGTAAAGTTAAATATACAACTTTAAATTAATTTAATTAGTGACTATTTCATCTATTAAATAATAATTGAATATAGTAAATTTAATTCACACCGTTCGACTGGTTAATTCCAAACATTGGTCCGAATCACGACAAAAGTAGTATCAAAGAATAAGGTGTAAGATTAATTAATGAAATTTTGATGAAAGAGCAAATATGATAAAAATATAAACATTAAAAATTTAAGTTAACTCAAAAAAAAATTTATATCCATTCAAACATAGTCATTCATACACTTGAAATTATAGTAGAAGATAATTTGATAGGAAACAAAGTGCAACCCACTATAATTGTGAACATAAATTTCCTCAACCAAATGATGACGACAATGACTCAGATGATTCATGAGTCGAGATCGCAACCTATCAGAAGTGATTTAGTCACGGTGGATAAATATTTGAAGACATTTCAAGATCCGCATCCACCTCTGTTCAAGAGAATTGAAGCCCAATTGAAACAAAAAAGTTGTTAACGAGGATAGAGAAGATACTAGATATTGTGGTTTGTCCGGATGAAAGAAGAGTACCGCTGGTATCTTTAGATATCGCTGAATATTAATCTTAAAAGAAATCTATAACACTTTTTTTCTGCAGTAGCGATCAAATGTGACATTGGTCCTTTAAGGATCATTGAATATTCGATACTATTAGAACGAGCTAGAAGAGTGGGGATCGATTATCAACTTACTCAGAAGCGTAAGGAGATGCATAAGAGCAAGACTGCAAAAGAACATGTAGATCACTCAAAAGGATCCATTGAGAAGTCTAAGAATAATTCAGGTGGAGCTAGCAGAGATACACCTCGGGATACTGTAGTCACTTGTGCCAAATGCGGAAGACAACATAAAGGTGAATGCTTGATGGACTCTAACAATTGCTATTGATGCCGTCAAATTGGTCATATAACAAGATATTGGTCATATAGCAAGATATTGCTCAACTCCTACATAAGAGCACTTAAGTTCATAAATCAGATGGAGCTCTGCAGAGATACACCTCGGGATACTGTAGTCACTTGTGTCAAATGCCGTCAAACTGGTCATATAACAAGATATTGGTCATAGCAAGATATTGCTCAACTCCTGCATAAGAGCACTTCAGATCATAAATCAGATGGAGCTCCTTCATAGAGGAATGCAAGCGGAGAGAAAAAGATCGAGTTTGCAGCTTCAACTCCTACACAAGGTCAACCAAGACAACCGGTTCGATCTCGAGTATATTCCCTAACTCATAGTAAGTCTGAAAAACTTACTGTCGCGAATGGTGATGAAATCTCTGATGAGTTTGGTGTTTTTTTATAAATAAGGATATTTTCTTGACATAGTTTTTTGCTTCAGTAAATAGTTGAGTCGCCTTGTATCTAGTCTTTACCTTATAATGATTACTTTTCATATTAATAAATGACCCCTAATTTCTTGGATAGCTAATATTGACCTACTTAATAAGATGTGATTTATGGTATGTGTTTTTTAAATTTTAAGTATGAAATTTTTGTAAGTGGGGAAGGTTGTGAAGCCCCATTTCAATTAATCGAGGAAGAGGAAACGAGAAACTGAAGGAGAAGTGAGGAGTCGGGCAGTTAAAGGGGGATGAGGAATCAAACAGCCAGGAAGCCGAGGAGGCGTAGGTGAAGCGAGAGGGTCGGGAAGTTGAATGGATACTTTCGTGTATAAATCCATGCTGGGACGGTAGGGCCGAGCTACTTACCTGAGGGTCGGGCAATTAGCGCCGAGGGAAGCAAAGGAGGTCACTTGGGGTTTTGCGGGCTTCAATAGCTCTGGTGAGTGCAACTAGGGCAAGGAGAAGAGCGTAGACAGAGGGCTTTAACCGAGCCCTAAGAAAGAAGGCGACGCCGCAATTGAGCGAAAGAGGAGGCGAGTGCGGGAGAAGATTCTTCATGCACTGTGACATTCGATCTTGTGCGATTGAGCCGAAGAAGAATAAAAGGAAGGGGCGGAGCGTGCGGGAGCCAGATCGGGCCGAGTCTTTGGGAGAGAGAAAGGTTTTGATTAAATGAATTAGTATGTTATAAATTATTAATAATGGGGTTTAATGAAGTTGGGATTCAACCTAGAGATGTTTCGCTTTGATTCGCGAAAAGGTAATGACAGTGAAGTAAAAAAGGTATTTTGTTAAATTAATAAAATTATTATGAGTATTAATTTCAATGATTAAACCTAAAGTTCAAGAATTGAAACCTTAATTAAATAATATATAAAATTTGTTAATTGATAATTAAATTAATAATAATAATAATAATAATAATAATAATAATAATAATAAAGTTTAGAAATTTGAATATTTTATATATTTTAGGTGGTAACTTGGAAGTGTTGATAAACACTAAAAGCAAAGAAAATCATTCGTGATTAAGGTGAATATTCATACTTTTAATCTATGCTAATATTTTGGTTCTTTTTTATTTATATGCAATAATAAATAATGATATTTGCACAAATTTTATTTTGATTTATATATTTTTTATTTTTGGGGACTTTGTTAGGAATGATTGTAGTTACTTAATATCATGTATGCTATATATAGTATGTTGAATTGAATGTGACAAACATATGAATGATGTATAGATGTTACAAACAACTAGTAACGAGGTAAAGTTAAATATAATGCTATAATTTAATTTGATTAGTGGTTTTTTCATCTGTTAAATGGTAACTGAATATATTAATTTAATTCATACCATCAGACCGCCCGTCTTGATTAATTCTAAGCCCCGAGTCGGGTCATGACAACTAGGCATGTTGTCTTCTTTTTTTTTGAGATTGATGCTCTATGAAGGTTTACACCACTTTTTTTCATTAACTTAGTAGTCTTTGTTTTTACTAGCTTAAAGTTCTGTTACACCATTTACAAAAAGAAAATAACCGATATTTCTTTCAACATTTAGTTTGTTTGTGATTACTTGCAGCCACTCATCTGTTGAAAATTTTGTCCTTCGTATTTTTATTGAAGTTAAATTTCTATATTTTTCTGCCTCTTAGTTGGAGATTGAAGCCTTCTATACTGCCTTCCCTACCAGCATACTTGAAAAAATCTCAGCAACACTTTTAGAGTAACAAAGGCATCGAGCAAGCAACATGAGGAGAAGGCCTGGAATTGCTGGTTTACAGACAGCTGCTGCTGCTCGTGTATAGTCCGATCCGATCTCCCATCATGAATTTTATTTGACCTTTATTTGTTCTGCCTGACATTTGAATGATTCAATTTTTCAGGATCAATACAGGCTGCTTGGAGAAAATGTTGCTAAGGTCAGAGCAGATCTCATGAAAGAGCAGCTTGCAACGTTTAGATCCCAATTGGAAGAGTTTGCTCAGAAGCACAAGGTAATCAATATGTTTGGATTTGTTCTTTCTGTTGAATAAAACATTATATTTCAGTGTTTTGGTGTGTTAGTATGAGTTAATATTATAAATTAAATGTTTTAAAGTAAAAATCATACATTATGAGAGGAATTTATTATTCTTATTTGAAGTTTCATTGATCCTTATTGTGGAATTGTTTTGTTGTACTTCTTGTTTAATAAGATCTTTGTGGTTGGTTTAGAGCTCTAATTTTATGACTCATAGATTAATAGTTGTCAAAAATAAAAAAAATTTATTGTTAAATGTAATGATGCGGTGTAAATTAATTAGTTTTGGACCAAAAAATACCATATTTTCACAAGCCAATCAAAAAGGGTTGAATCATGCTACAACGGAGTTGAACTGAACTAATTTTCAACCCTTTTTAAATCATATGTAATTATTATATTCCTCGTAATACATCTAGTTAGCCAAATATATATGCTACTTATTTTTATGGAGAAATATGTCCAAAACTTCATTTTGAATTGAAACACAGCTGATATATAAATTATAAATCATAATTGTCGGCTTAAGAATAATGTGAATTTTTGGACAGCAAAGCTGCTCGAATGCCAACCTTTCTAACACATTCTCTTTCAATGATCTTAGTGCTTCCGTCATTGATCTACATGAAAGTCTTATTGTGATGGTCTTTATGTTCCAGAAATCTTTTGTTCAACCTCAGTAATGTTATATTTTTAGATCTTCAAGTTCGAATGCATTTATCCATGACAAAATAGGTTATAATAGGGATGGGATTAAATGAGATTATTAAGGAAAAAAGAAAAAGAATAATGTATCAATTTTTAATTGGAATTTTGAACCTGATTCTAACTTTGTTTTTGCACTACAACCCAGATCCTGTACTACATCGGGCATAATATGAATTATTACAATCTTATTCAAATAAAGTTTGAATCCTTTTGTATTGTGCTCATCACCTTATATAGTATTGATTCATTTGATTTGGTTTACTTTATATACACCACTTTAATCATACTTGCAGAGATATATTACATTGCCTGGGTCACATATGAAGCTTTTGTAATGTGATGGATAAAGTTGTTAGAAAATTTGATGCTTGTGATCTTTTTAATAGAGCAAAGGGAATTGTAATTTTAACAAATAGCAGTGTACAAATCCAGTGTTCCACAACTTTTAAGAAGTTAGGTTGGAGAAAAGTTTTAACAAGATTAGATTTTGACATTTTATTGTGATATAAATAGTTATCCTAAGTACTAGAGTGGAATATTGAAATTTGAATGAGAAGCTGTTAGCTTCATCAATATTAATTTATTAGAGCACTTAGCCAAGACATAGGAGGAGAAATGTAGTTCTGCCATGTTATAGCTGTTATGATTGTAATTTGTTTTATCAAACTTATTATTGTGATTGCACATTGTTATGTGAAAGTTATAATTTATTTTATTATAACCATTTTTATACAAGTTTTGAATATGGTTCAGATAGAGTTTGAACAATGTTGAAATGTAATTCAAGCATTGCTCAAATGATATTTCAATTTTGGTTTGAATTCGGTTTGAATATTATTAAAATTTTGCTTGAACATGGCTCAATTAAGAACCTCATGCTGTAAGTAGGTTTTAAAAGAATTTGAATTTTTTGTAGCTATACAAAGAGATTGATACTATTTAAAAATTTAAATATAAATTTAAAAAATCACTAATAAAACACAGAATTTGAATTAATAATACTTAAAATATATTAAATATAATAAGTCAAAAATAATATATCAACACTATATTACTCCATAACAGTAATTATTTGACTGATCACTCAAATGCTAATCTTGTAAATCAATTACAATTGCATTTAACTGTGCCACAACTATGATAAAACATTAATTTGTATATGAAGTTGGTGTTTGTGAGCCCCATCAAATGAACAATAGGTTAATATTCTTTTTTTTTTGTTATATATGCTTGAATTCATTCATACTCTTCCAACGTTTGTATTCCTAGATATAAAATGAGAAAAGAAGAAATGAAAATCCTTGGTTTGAAATTGAACTTTGATCAAATCATATTCAAATGAGGTTTGAACTGGTCCTTTATCCCTTTTGAATTAATTAAGTCATATTATTAATTAATTTTCTCCTCTATTTTAGTATCTCTATCATTGCCTTATGGTAGTCTTGTATAAATTTCAACCCTCTACATGATTATGTTTATGCCTATAGGAATTCGAAAGCGCAAAGGGGTTGGTTCATATCAAGTTAAAATGAGGTTTGAACTTCATTCCAATCCCGTTCCAAGCATTGTCTCATATATAATGGTATATCCTTAGGTTTGAAATAAATATTTGATCTTTATTCAAAAAAAGATTGAACATTGAGTATGGTGTTTGAACCTAGGATTCTCTCTCTACCTCCATATTATAACCATAGATCGAAGACTATTGGGGGTGTAACTGAGCTAGCTGACTTGTGAGCTAGTTCGGGCTCTGTTCGATGAGCGGTCCCCGAGTTGAGCTTGATGGGTTAACATGCCAAGCTCAAGCAATCCTCGACTTGACAAAAGCCGTCTCATTAAAAAAATAATAGTGTAAATTATACTCAAATATACATTAAAGTTCAAGATTTAATCTATAAATTTTTAAAAATATTTTAAAAAATATAGTTTTCATTTTATATCAAATAATTTCTTATTTTTTTATTTATTGCTCATTTTTGCATAGCTTAACTTGAGTTAATATCATTTCTTTATTTAATGATAAACAAGTTAGATCGTGAATTGGCTTGAATTAATATCATTTATTTATTGCTCATAGAATTAAGCTTGAGCTCAAGCTCAAACTCGATAATCAGGATCAAGCCGAGGTGCCTTGAGTTTGACTCGACTCATTTGCACCCTTAATGACTGCATTAAGACACAAGTAAAAATTTAAGCTTGAGCTCAAGCTCAAACTCGATAATCAGGCTCAAGCCGAGGTGCCTTGAGTTTGACTTGACTCATTTGCACCCTTAATGACTGCATCAAGACACAAGTAAAAAATATATACATTAATATCTGTTCGTTTGAAAAAACTTGTGGTTAAGCTTTAGAACAAAGTAATTACTTGAAATCAAGACAATGATGGTTCTTGGAAGGCCTAGATTGCTCTTGGAAGACAACGATGGTTCTTCAACAACTATTGTGTTCGAGTATTCATAATATCACTAAATCCTATACCTTATATTGCCATCATAAAGATAATTTTATTTAAAAGCAACTTTTAAACATATTTCTCTGAATAAATAAACATCAGAGTTGTTTAGTCAATTACGTGAATTAGAAGAGGCATATAAGATAATTTTTTTTATTATGGCCTATGATGCACGAACACTTCTAATTAAGGAATTTTTTCTCATCCTTATCAAAATAAAAAAAAAACCAAATATTATTTTAATTATCTTAGTTAAGTTAGGTTTCACAATTTATTTCTTTTAATTAAATTAATAAAAATAGTAGTAATAATAATAATAATAATAATAATAATAATAATAATAAATGTGGATTAGGTTATACCCAAGTAATGCTAAAAGTAAACTACATAATTAATCTTATTTTCTAGTTGATGTAGGATCAGTGATCGAACTGTAAAATTCGTAGAAGTATCCTGGTTGTCGCCTGTAAGCAACTGCTCTTTATTATGGGATAAAATACTATTTCTAGTTTGGGGTGTTTTCCGTGCTAATTCTATTAAATTCATAACTAATTGTAGGTTTGTCATTCATACCCTTTTAAATTCCATTCATATATTTGCAGTAGCTTCTATTTTTGTTTATGATAACATTAATGTGTAATTAACCATGTTTTATTATTGCTTAGCCTCGTGTTTAACTTTTAACCTTTCATGATTTTAATATTTATTATTTCTTTTAGATTTTTGATGTGACAAATCTTATTATTTCATAATTATTTATAAATACTAGTAGACATTTTGTAGTTATTATTCTCGTGTTTTTATGTTGTGCATGAAATATAACTAATATTATAATATGTTTTGTTAAGGCTAGCTAGACCATCAGATCCTCAGAGAAATTAGTGGGTTTTTATGGAGTTGGTGCCTACCTTTTCTTTATTTCATGGCGTCGTAAACTGACCTTTTCTTCAATGGCATTGACATCGAGCCGGTTTGGACTTGGCGGATTAGTTGTTGTATGTGTTTATGTTAGATTTTTGATCAGATTCAGGCAATTGTCACGGCAGTGGCATGGTTGGGGTTTTAGGTATAGGTAAGTGGAAGGATTGAAATGGAAATTTTTTTTTGCGGGGGGTGGGGGGTGATATTGAAAATGCTAGAAACCGTAGGATGGGCTAGAGTTGGGATTGCTCTGATACCAAATGATATCACAATTAACTCAAACCATAATAGAAAAAATAATTAATGTTATTTAAAACAAATATGTGGTTACAATCAAACACACTTGAATGAGAAATTACAACGAACATGAGGCAAACTCGCAGTAGGGTTTGATCCATAAGTGGTAGAGGTTAACCAGGTGGTCGGGGAGCAAGGTTGGTAGCTGAAATGGTTGTGGGTAGTTGGGTCAACAGTGGGGATTGGAAGGGTGGAGATAACAAAAACGAGTGGTCATATAGCAATGAATCGGTTGGAAAGGATGGTTTTGAGTTGCGGCAGCAAGGGAGGTAAACATTCGCATTGAAGGGAGTTACGACATGAGCAGCAGGCTGGGGTTAGAGAGACAACTGGCCAGTTTTCTCAAACAACAGTAAATGGTCAGGAATGGTTGTTTCCAGGTGGTGACAACAAGCGTGAATGACGAAGATAACGACGGGGAAGGTGTGAGGCTACAGGACAATCAAAGGAGGGCTAGCCTGGGGCAACGACAACGGGGAGGATTGCTGAACGACGAGGAATTGTAGGAAGAACAACAAAAAGACTGCTGTGGGGGCGGTTGCTGCGAGGAGGGCGTCGTAGCAAAGCGAGAGGGATGCAGGAAGGGATAAAGTTGA